GGTAGCTGGGACTGTAGGTTCAAGCCATCATGCTTGGCTAATTTTTAATTTTTTGTAGAGATGAGACCTTGCTATGTTGCCAAGCTGGTCTTTCTAGGCTCAGACAATCCTCCCACCTTGACCTCTCAGAATGCTGGGATTATAGGTGTGAACCACCATGCCTGGCCAAAACTGTGTATATATTTAATTTAAAATACTTTCTAGCTGGGCTTGGTGGCTCAGCCTGTAATCCCACACCTTTGGGAGGCTGAGGTGAGTGGATTGCCTGAGCCCACGGGTTCGAGACCGGCCTGGGCAGGCGAGACCTCATCTCTACAATAAAATAAAAAAATTAGCCGGGTGTGGTAGCGCACGCCTGTAATTCTGGCTACTCGGAAGGCTGAGGCGGAAGGATTGCCGGAGCCTAGCAGGTCGAGGCTGCAGTGGCCGGTAGCAGCCACTGCACTCCAGTCTGGGCGACAGAGTGAGACTCCAACTCAAAAAAATAAATAAATAAATAAATAAATTTCCTCTTTATTACCTAGAGGTGTGTTGTTTAATTTTCAAACATTTGTGGATTTTTTCCACATCCTTCTTTGTTGATTTCTACTTTATGCTAAGTTTAGAGAAAATCATTTGTATGATTTTAATCATTTTAACTTTTTTAAGATTTATTTTATGGTCTAAAATATATATACTGCCTTGGTGAATGTATGTGATGTTTATTCTGCTGCCATTGAATTGACATTGAATTGATATTTTATAAATATCATTTAGGTTAAGTTAGTCCTGAATGAATTTTGAATGATGATGTTAGAATTAACCAGAGAAGAAAGGATGAGAATGAACATAGAAGTATGATATTAGAACTTAATCCCTTTGCTTTTAGTTGAGGAAACTGGAAAACTTAGTGATGATACAGCTTATCCAAAGTCACATACTTGTTCCAGAGCTACAAACGCAGTCCAAGTTTCCTAAAGTCTTTAGAGTTAATCACAAGCCCCCCCTCCCCCCAGAAGTCATGCACTAAGCTGGGCTTGAATTGGATTTTGATGACAAAGAGGCAGGGTTGGTTGGAAATAGCTCTGTTTAAGGTAGGAATTTGGAGAATTTGCTGATACTGCTTACATGGGCCATGTAGCATCCTAATTTATATGTAATGGCTGAAGTTCTTGTACTTAGTTTAAGTGGTTAGAACTTTGCGTTAATAACAACAATCATTGTATACTCCTTCAGTGTTTGGGTGTCTTTTACATTCACACATGACCTGGGATCATTTGAAGACCACGTGAGCAGCAAGTATTGATATTTTCCTCAGTGTTTAAGTGAGAAACCAGAGGCTCAGTGAGATTATGTGATTTGCTGAAGATCACACAGTGATTGATGGATTTAGGCTTTTACTTCTTCCATGACTTAGACTTTATTATTCATTTCCCTAGTCAGCTGTGTGCAAGGTATTATAAAAAGTGTGCAGGGCCGTGTGTGGTGGCTCATGCCTGTAATCCCAGCACTTTGGGAGACGGAGACAAGAGTATTGCCTGAGTCCAGGGATTCAAGACCAGCCTGGGCAACTTGGCAAGACCTCGCCTCTACAATAAATCAGAAAATTAGCTGGGTGTGGTGGACTGTGCCTGTTGTTCCAGCTACTTGGAAGGCTGAGGCAGAAGGATTGCCTGAGAACAGCAGGTTGAGCTGCAGTAACTATGAGTGTGCCACTGTACTTCAGCCTGGGTGACAGAGTGAAACAGTGTGCTGTTTTTAGGCTGGGCACTGTGACTCATGCCTGTAATTCCAGCACTTGGGAGGCTGAGGCAGGAGGATCGTTTCTACAAAAGAAAAACAAAAAAGTCAGGCGTGGTGGTATGCACCTGTAGTCCCAGCTACTCAGAAGGCTGAGGTGAAGGATTACCTGAATCCAGGAGGCTGAGCCACAGTGAGTTATGATCTTGCCACTGCACTCCAGCGTGGGTGACAGAGAGACCCCAACTAAAAGATAAATAAATAAAATGTTTTTAAGAAAGTGTGCTGTTTTTAATAAAGCTATTAAAATATGTCGTTTTGGTTAGATTAATAGAATTGTGTATGCCGTAGTTTCTGTATTGTTGGGACATTAATCTATATATTAATGAAAAAAGGATAGTATATAACACACTTCTTATTAACGTAATTTAATAGTTCTGAAATGTACAAAGTAGTCAAAGTAGTATACAATATAATATAGTGCTTTTTTTAAAAAAAGTTTTTAAATTTGAGACAGGATCTTGCTATGTTGCCCAGGCAGGTCATTAACTTCTGAGCTTAAGTGATCTCCCACCTTAGCCTCCCAAAGTGCTGGGATTACAGGTGTGAACCACTGTGCTCAGTTGCCTGTTTTGTTAAGCATGTTTTTCTTTTTCGTTATTAGTCAGGAACCAAGGGATTTTTCTGAGCTTTATGGTTGTGTGATTTCTAATTTCTTATTCGATTTTTTTTTTTTTTTGAGTTGGAGTCTCACTCTGTCACCCAGACTGGAGTGCAGTGGCACACTCAATGGCCACCGCAGCCTCGACCTGCTGGGCTCAGGTGATCCTTCCACCTCAACCTTCCAAGTAGCTGGAACTACAGGCATGTGCCACCATGCCCAACTGATTTTTTTGATATTGTAGAGACAAGCTCTCACCACGTTACCCAGGCTGGTCTTGAACCCGTGGGGTCAGGCAATCCTCTCACCTCCACTTTTCAAAGTGCTGGGATTACAGGCGTGAGCCACTGAACCTGGCTAGGTTTTTTATTCAATATTTTTATGTCTACCTTTCGAAAATACTTTTACATCTCATCCCATTCTATCTTTATGGCACTCCTGTGAGATAGAGCAGGGAGTGTTTTCCAGTTTTGGCTGACAAAGGAATTAAAGCATGCCCCCTTACCACTGATAAATTACTGTATGTTAGGGAGTGTACTGGGCACCAGGGCTGTGAAGATAAACAAGTCAAAGATCTGAAAATCTCTATAAAGCAGTTGAAGTTGAAGTCAGAACCCAGGTCACTTGCTTCTTAGCCCCATATCTTTTCAAGTACTAGGACTCATTAGAACTACTACTAATTTAATGCCCATTTTCATGACATTTGTACTTGAGAACTTTCATTCTGTATTCGTCCCTGCTCAGAGACTCTCCCCCTCCCTTGCTTTTATGGTATGTATATTTTTTTCTTTTCTTTTCTTTTTTTTGTTTTTAGTCGGAGTCTCACTCTGTCGCTTAGGCTAGAGTACAGTGGCATGCTCACGGCCACCGCAGCCTCAACCTGCTGGGCTCCAGTGATCCTTCTACCTTAGCCTTACAAGTAGCTGCAACTACAGGTGTGTGCCACCACACATGGCTAATTTTTTTATTTATTGTAGAGAGATGAGGTCTCACCAAGTTGCCCAGGTTAGTCTTGAACCCGTGGACTCAGGCAATCCTCTCACCTCCTCAGCCTCCCAAAGTGCTGGGATTATAGACGTGAGCCACTGCGCCCAACCCTGTATATTTATTTCTTCCAATTTTAGAAAATCTTGCAAAGCACAGAGAAGAGAATAAAAAAATTACCATAATCCTGCTCACTGCGATCATTGTTAACCTTTTGGTGAATGTAATTTTAATCTTTTTTCCCCAGGCATATATGTGCATAATTATTTTATGTTTAAAAAGTTTCAGGTTCTTTTAAATCTTGAAATTGATTTTATAATGTTTTCTTTTTTCTCTTCTAAGATGAAAACTTCTTGATTTATAGTTTTATAAAATCATGATTGTAGACTCATCTTTTGGTCTTGTGTCAGTTTAGTAAGTGATGTAGGTAAGCAGGGAGTACGTGATGAAGTTGGCTTTGGCAATAGAGGTAGGAGAGAAGGAAGTCAGGTGAATGTTCACAGAATATTCTGCTGGGTTTGGCTGTTACATCTCTAACTGGAGAAAGAAGAAAAATACTCTGCGCTGGCAGTCCTTCTTGTCTTCCCTCCCTGGAACCCTCACTTTAGTTCTTCATGGCAGTTTGTTTTTTAAAAGCTACAACTCTTCCTGCTGAAGTAACTACATCTTTTTTATATTTCACAGTTGGGCATGTTATACTATTTTGAGTTATTTTCGAACTCAGTTCTTCAATTTAAAGTTTTATTCCTCCTACCTTTTAGGTGAAATTTAATTTGAGGGGCAACCCTCTCAGGTCCCTTCCCACTGTGGGAGCTTTTCTGTCCTCTTAATAAATCCTGCTTTAAAAAAATAAATTTAATTTGGGGTGGGCACTGACTAGAAGGTCATACCATCTGAAAGAGAGTGGTATGTAGGCAATAATTAAATAACTATTTAGGACTTTAGGGAATCAATCTTTTATTTTTTCCCTAGGGATTTATATTTTTTTAAAGTACTCTTATAGACTTACTAAATTGTGTTTTCTTTGAGATCAGAGAAGGTATAGTATACTTCTAAATCCTCTATCCTTCATCAATAAAATAGCCTTTCCCTAACAACCTCAAGAAATGCTTGTGGAATATGTGTGAATAATGGTGCCTGTGATCTCTTGTAATGGTTGTGAGGCTTTTGGCTGAAGCAGGAAATGCTCACTTGATTACCTTGTCTTTTTTTTTTTTTAAGTCAGAGTCTTACTCTGTCGCCCAGGCTGGAGTGCAGTGGCATGCTCATGGCCACTGCAGCCTCAATCCTCTGGGCTCAGGTGATCCTTCTGCCTCAGCCTTCCAAGTAGCTGGAACCACAGATGCGTGCCACCATGCCTGGCTAATTTCCTGTAGAGATGAGGGCTTGTCATGTTGCCCAGGCTAGTTTCGAACCCCTGAGTCAGGCAATCCTCTCACCTCCGCCTCCCAAAGTGCTGGGATTATAGGCGTGAGCCACCGTGCTTGGATGATTAGTGATTTGTTTTTTGCTAGCTCTGTTTCAGTATAGTCAGTCTCAGCATTGATGGAAGTCTTTTTGTAACTGTCATTCTCTGGTTGTAGTAAAATCTGATTGAAATAAAAAGAACTAACTGTGTGTTTCCCTCCTCTCTTAGATTCATGCCCGCAACCAAAATGAAATCATTTTTGGGCTAAATGACGGTTACTATGGTGCTCCATTTGAACATAAGGTAAGAGCATTTCCCCTAATGTTATGAGTTTTGTTTAGTCCAGGTGTGCCTTGTAGGTGAACAGGGTAGATTTAATCCTGAAAAGCTCTGTGTAAATAGAATCGTGTTTTAAGTATCATTGTAAGCTTGTTCAGCGTGGCTTAGGGTGAATGCTTTTGAAAGTGAAAACTCATTTTGTAAGGCATATAACCACCCAGTTCATCTTTTCTAAATCCAGATTATATTAATTTTTCTAAAGGAAATCCAGAACTGGCTGTTTTTTCTTATTCTACATAATTCTTTGGAGATTAAGAAGGGATGGTGGATTTTGATTAAATACAATTTTATTAACTGCTTCAGCTATCTTTTATAACTTTCAACAAATTTAAGAAACCATGAGTCAAATTGTTTTACATCAGAACTGTCTCTTTATCTAAAGGTGATTAGAGAAAGGGAAGGGAAGAAATTTCATATTTACCATCTCTGGTACTGTGATGGGAGAGTCACATCAGCCACAAACCAATGTGGTAAATTTTATCCCTTCATTTTATAGATAAGGAAACAGGCTGTGAGAGATGAACTTCATAGACTCATATATCTGGAAAGTAGCTGAACTGAGATTTCAGGTTGCCTGCCTCGAAAACCTACGCTCTTTCTACTCTGTGAGGGTGTTTTACCTATGAAATTCTGAAGCTTATGTGTTAGTTGCTCTTAGTGATCATGTTGCTTCATAATTCTTTGTTGTCTGAAATGCTTTCCTTAGAATACTCCACTCATTCAACAATATTCTGTTGAGTACCTGCTGTGTGTACGGTACTCTGAGTACTAGAATACAGTGGTGAGCAGATGGATATTTTCCTGCTGTTGGGGAGTGTATGCAAGAGACAACACTGATAAAGTAATCTAACAGATAAACATGTAAATACAAATGGTGGTAAGTCTGTAAAAGCATGTAATGTGGACCTGGCTTATCCTAGAGGCTATAAAAGCATGTAATTCTCTGTAAAAGCTTATAATGGTACCTCACCTATTCTAGGGGTTCAAGAAAGGTCTTCTTGGGGACTTGGTTTTGAAAGCAGCACTCCAGATGATGAACTCAGGTGAATTCTGTGAAGGGGTTGGTGTCTGAATAGAGGACTATTCAGGCAGAGGAGACTAATATGCTGGAAGGCCACGAAGTAGAAGGGAACATGGTGAGTTTTAGGAACTGAAGGATGATGGTCAGAGTAGTGAGGGGGAGTGATACTAGGTGAGACTGGAGGGCTAGGCAGGGACCATAGCATCCAGAACTTTTAAAGAACTGTATCCTAAGAACAGGCGATTGTGTGGAAGGCATTTTACCATGGCAGTGCTATAGTCAGATTTGCGTTTTAATAGTTTCACTCAGGCTGCAGTAAGGACTGATTGTATAGGAGGTGGGAATGTATGGGGGAGGTCAGTAAGGAGAATCTTGCAGTGGGTCAGATAAGAAATGTTACTCTCTGAAACAGGATTGTGGTAGATCAGAGAAAAGATAGATTTAAGAAAGTTTTAGGAGATAAGATCATTAGAACTTGCTAAAGACTTGAATTTAAGGCATAAGACAAAAGGAAGTGTTAAGGATGACTTCTGGGTTTCTGTCTTGGAGGAAGTGACTGGATGGATGAAGGTGTCAGGCACTGAGAAAACTAAGGGACACTGGAGAAAGAACAGATTTGGTGGTGGCAGGTTATGAGTTGGGATTTGATCATGTGGCTTTTGAGATGCCATTGAGACATCCATGTGTAGACATGTTAAGTAGGCATTTGGGTATGTGAGTCGAGTTCAGAAGAGAGAACTGGGTTAGGCATATAAATGTGGGACCAAGGACAAGTAGTCATTGAAATCATGACTGCAGATGAGGTAGATGAGGAACAGGCAGGGCAGGAAGATGGGCACCGAGTAACCAAGCTTTGAGGACCTCCAACCTTGATAGGCAGATAGAGAAGGGGGTATCAGAGGTGAATGAGGTGTGGCCACAGGAAAAGGGAAGAGGCGGTCAGGTTTCATGCAGAATCTCAGAGTCCAAAGAAAGAGAGGCTTTTGTTGATGATTTTTTTTGTTTGCCTTTTTATTCATTTGTTTTTTAAAGGGAGGGAGTGATCAAATAAAATGAGGATGGAGAATTGGATTTAACTAATGGAAGTTATTCTAGGCAACTTCTTCAAAATTCACTTCAAACTCTGATAGGCTTTTTGTTTTGTTTTGAGTGGAAGTCTCACTCTGTCGCCCAAACTGGAGTGCAATGGCACGCTCATGGCCACCGCAGCCTCTATCTGCTGGGCTCAGGCAATTCTTCAGCCTCAGCTTTTCAAGTAGCTGGAACTACGGACATGTGCCATCTTGCTCAGATAATTTTGTGATTTATTGCAGGGATGAGGTCTTACCTAGTTGCCTAGGCTGGTCTCGAACCCCTGGGCTCAGACAATCCTCTCACTTTGGCCTCCCAAAGTGCTGGGATTATAGGTGTGAGCCCCCACTCCCAGCTGCTTTTTTTCTTTATTTTAAGGCTCTCATCTTCTGAGTTTCTATGGTATATCAACATTCTGTGTATACCTTTGACATAAGATATACCATTTGTAGCTGGGCTCATCTTTCTAGTCTAAACTCTTAAAGGACATATTTCCATATGTGATATTGAATTCGCAGTATCTGCCACAGTTCTTGGGACTTGCTATTTGCTTAGTAAAAATATTCATGATTTAATGAGAGAATTGTGAGGCTGCTATTGCTGCTGTTGTAATGTCTTACTTACATGGTTAGCTATCCTGACACTGTTGAGGCATGAGGTTTCACCTGCAACTGTTAACTAGCACAATGTGTGGCACATGTAAGAATACAATTAACAGCTAATATCTGTTGAGCATTACTATATATCAAACACTGTTTATAAGAGTTTTGCATCTGTTGTATATTTAATCCCCCTAGAACCATATAGCCAGAAACTAATAGTTGTTGAGGCTTGAGGTAAGCCAATAACTAATCCTCCTTTCTTCTTCTCCTGAGTTTGGAGCAAGTTCAGAAATAAACTGAGTGATAGATAAATGGAGATCAGAATGTTGACTTTATTACTGATAAGTCTGATTGGCAAGTATGACTTAAATTCTATGATTAAATGAGCTTGCTGTGACTAAAATGACTGTGTATTGTTGCCTCCAAATGGAACCTCCCCCCAAACATAATAAAGCAAAGGAAACCAAGGTCTTCTCCTTGTAGGAATGAAGCCAGATCCTCTAAGCCAAAAGTAGTGCTTGTATCTGTGCTGTAGACAAGCTGCTTCTGATGAGAGGGAAACTAGGAAAAACTATACCGTCAAGCTCAGTTCCACCTTCAAAGCTCAACAATCAGGTTATCGACTGGTCTCTGAGAGTAGTGAGTGAAGGATATGGAGTAATTGGAAATGCTCCTTTCATGACCTTCCCTCCTGGGAAATGGGGTAAAACATATTGCTTCTGTATGGAAGCATGGGAATGCAGAATAAGTGTTTCCCTGTAACAATAAATAGCTAATAGTTAATGAGCATATATGTGCCAGGAGCTCTTCTAAACACTTTACATATCTTACCTAATTTAAACTTCACAATCATTCTTTTTTCTTTTTTTTTTTTTTTTTGAGTTGGAGTCTCACTCAGTCGCCCAGACTGGAGTGCAGTGGCCACTCCTGGCCACCGCAGCCTCGACCTGCTGGGCTCCGGCGATCCTTCCGCCTCAGCCTTCCAAGTAGCCGGAATTACAGGCATGTGCTACCACACCCAGCTGATTTTTTGATTTATTGTAGAGATGAGGTCTTGCTGCCCAGGCGGGTCTCGAACCTCAGAGTTTTATCACCTCAGCCTCCCAAAGGCGCGGGATTACAGACTGAGCCACCAAGCCCGGCCACAATCATTCTTTTATAGAAGAGGAAGCTGGCACAGAGAAGTTAAGTAACTTTCCTGAGATTACACGACTGCTAAGTAGCAGAGCTGGGATTCAAAACTAGGTGGTCAATAAATGTTTATTGATTATACGATTGCAATAAGTGGGATGTTTTATTCTGTCGTCCTTCAGTTAGTGAGCTTTGCCAATTTATAAGTCTTGCTTATCTTGTCCCTTTGCAGCTTTCAAATGAACACCTGACATATAGGCTGGACCTTAGAAAAAATATTTTTATGTCTTTTTAAAGAAAGTCACAAATAGCATTTCCAGTCAAGATGACTTTGCAAGTACACACTTAGATACCACCAACCAAAACGAATGATTGATGAAATCAGAGAAATTTAAAGAGGCATCCCTTGCTAAAACAAACACAAAACAAGGTAATAAACATCTGTGGAACAGAAACACAAAGAAAAGTGGGCAGAAACAAAAACCTTGGGCCTGTTGGACCAGAAGTAGGCAGAAGGATGGACTCCTCAGAGCAAAAGAAGTATGGGATGAACACTGAAAACGAAGGTGGGACCTGCCTGATGACAAAAGGAGGCTAAGGAAAGGCAGCTTAGAGAAACTGCAGAATTTGAAGAGTAGCCTTAGAAGGGGAAATTTTGAAAGCTACCAGAGAGATAGGAAATACTGCTTATGAATTAGACTGACAGCAGACTTTGCATCAGCAACAGTAGATGCCAAAAGAAAGATATCTTCAATGTGCTGTTAATCATTAATGCATTAATTCTATTTCCAGTAAACTTTCAGTCAGCAGTGAGGTGAGAGAGAGTGGTTTTAAAACAAATCAACTAATTAATTATTTTTCAGGCAGGATATTGTTCTGTCACCCAGGAGTGCAGTGGTGTGATCATAGCTCAGCAGCTTCCAACTACAGTGATCCTCCTGCCTTAGCCTCCTGAGTTGCTAGGATTTTAGGTGTGAGACTTCATGCCTGGCAGAGATAGCTTTAAATACACAAACATTGAGAGTTTGCTGCCGACCAATCATTTACCCATAGTGAATATGCAAATAGAAGATGATGCTAATTGAGGATATAGGATGGAAGAAAACAGCAAGGGGTATAAAAATGGTTCGAGCGTGAGT